ATACACACAGAGGTGATAGCAAATGATAACACCACTAATGGTCAGTAAGTTGATATAAAGGATCTTTTGTGAAAATAGAACTTTGAGGATTACCCTTGGGGGTAGGTCCAGGAAAGGTACAGAATGAACCCTCAGAGGAACGATGAGAACCAGGAATATAGTTACTCAGAAGTAAAAAAAAAAAAGAGTTTCAAGAACGGATAATCAACATTGTCAAATGCATAAAGAGGTCATAGATTTGACTAAGCCATGTCTAGAAATTTATACCAGTTCAAACTAACATAAACGAAGACCTAAGAAGGAGTTTGTAAACTTTATCTTCTTCAGATTATTGCACTATTCTTATAGCCTGCTGAAGAGCAAATAAGCTAAAGTCAAGTGTTGCTCTGGAAAAAATACCTAAGAATAAGTTCCTCAAATACACATCACACTGATTCTTTGTATTTCCCATAGAATATATGTCCCATGTAGATCTTAAGATTCCGTACTTTTTGAGTCATGGAGGAGGGGATGAGAATGAACACTTTACCCATTGTGCTTTGTTTAGTAAGTGGAGTTAGAAGTGGCTGACACTTCTGGTTACCTACCTGTCTGTCTGTCTGTCTCTCTCTCTCTCTCTCTCTCTCTCACACACACACACACACACACACACACACACACACATACACACACGATGTGTATGTATACATACATGCAAATATGTATTACACGTATATAGATATTGAGATTATCTACTCACATACTATATACATATGCTACTGAACTACGTAATTCACCCGTGGGGAAGGCAAAGATCAAGTAGTAATTATAATCACAAAAAATATCACCAAGAAGTCTTTTAAAAAGCCAGTTTCCTTGATGCACTTAAATGTTTAACTAATCATTAACTACAGTTAATTAATAAAGGGAAGGCAGAGCAACAAAGCCCAAGTAGTAGCACATAACTCAAGTACAATCAAACCCAAAGTAGTACCTCTAAAATTGTCAAGAACATATTTGGATACATCTAATTTTCTCGTCCAGGAAAGTGAGATTTAAGAATGAAATTGGATCTTATCTATTCTCATTCCTCTTCAGAATTGGAGGTAGAATCCCATAGCAACGGCAGTTCTGGCTTTTTTTCCCCTGGTCGGAACAGGTGATTTTAGTCTGTCAATTGCTCCCAAGTGTAAAAACTCACTCTGCCCATGCAGATCAGCAACTATTCTGTAACTTGCCTTGATGACTTGTCTATAATCACATATCTAGCATATATCTTCCTTACTCAGACCTTCTTGACTTTAGGCCAACCAAGAGACTTCTAGGCCGTAAGTAATACTGCCCCCTCAGCCTTGAGAAACCAAATGCTACAAAACTTTTCCTCCTTTTGGTTCCCTCCATGAAAAGAAATTTTTCTTACCAAAGACATCTTTTTAATTTTTTTTCCATTTTCTGCCTTGTACTGTAGTTAGTCATTTTTAATTCTGTTATACTCCTATGCCCCATAAGAATTTAAGCTCCTTAAAGTCAGAATTTTTTCTTATCTAGTTTTACATCAAATGCAATACCTCGAACACAATAAGTACAAACTATGAAATCTAGTGAGCTCTAATACTTCAGTGAGTAGAATAGGAACAGAACTGATAACCTCCTATACTCTCTTAAAAGCTAAATCTCTAACTTCTTAGTAACGAGCTACTTTTGATTTCCTCTAAATCTTGCCAATTCTAATGAGAGAACAAAAAGTACAAATAATTAATAGTTGTAGATAAGACAAGAAACAGGTAGTCTATTCTCTTTCCTACTGATAATCTCTAAAAGATATGGGAAAGAAGAAAAGGAAGGCTCAGTGGAGAAGAGCAACTTGGAAGTAGACAAGGAATAAGGCTTTAAGAACTGACCAGTAGATGGAGAACAGCTTAAAGACTCTAATATTCAAAGAAAATAGGGCAGTTGTAATCTTCTGAAATTACCAGAATAATTTACAACCATAATTTTAAAATAGTTAAATCTTGTAAAGATATTAGAACACAAACATGTGTAAACTCTAAATCCAGTGTATTTGAAACAATATATTCATGTATCATTTTCAGAAAATATTTGACAAAAGCTCCTTTTGGGGGGCCAATACTAAATATTTGGTAACAAAAGAAATCCTTGGTGGTCATTTTAAAATTAGCTAAGTGTGTAAACACAAACACATACACACACCCCTACATATATATTTTACTATATAAATGCTATATAAAATTAATCAAGTAAGCATTCATCTCAAAGATATTTAAGGATGAAACCTGAAAAGGAACAACAGACAAAAAAATGAAAGATCTTAAATAAAAGATTTTTATAACCAACATTTTTCATTATCAAAGACGGTACAGCTACACATTTGAACTCTAATATTAGTCAAAATAGCTCTAAAAAAGGATGGGAAAAACAGCTGGATTATATCATGTATGCGCATTGCATACATGGGGGAGGCAGCTCTGGAGGTGACATTATTTTAGGGAAGGGCATTGAGAAACTGTCAAGGAATTAATTCTCAAGTAGGGAGAAGACAGCATAGAAAATATCTTTAGCTCCTTGTTACAAGCAAAATCAATAACCACCAATTGAAATGCTTCCAATTCTACAAGACTTAAGAAAAATCTACACACTGATGGAAGGCATACTTGAGGAAGGCTGAAGAAGGGATTTTACAGTAGACCACATTTTTATAGTCAAACAACTGACTGAAACAAAGAGAGAACATAAAATCCTACTGTGCTTAGTGACTGCTGGCTATAAAAAAATAAAGCATTTAAATTTTTAGAGGGAAATGTTACTTCTAAGATTCTTCTCCAACAAGACATCCTCCATGTATATGGAATGATAATCATATAACATTCTACATAAAATGTAACCTTTTTTGATAGCCCTCCTGATTAATATAAAGTGAGGCATAAAACAAAGACACATATACTTGCCAAGGGTGTTTGCCACAATCATGGAGGTTATCTAACGCGAAGTCTAAATGAAAAAGGTGGTAAAGTAAGGCATTCCAGATGCTCCTGCTTGCAGAAGACATGTTCATTGCATCAAGCCAAGAACATTTCAATACCTAAATGAAATTAGTAATCACTTACAAAAGTTCAGCCTAACTATCCACACCTAAAAACAATTAATGAATGATGAATAACCCAGACTACCTCGGGTGGACAACTCAGAAAGTTTGTCCATTATTACAGATTAATGGATAGGCAATGGAAATGGATAATGAGCTGGGCTCAGAATTAAAGTGGAAAGCAGGAATGATTGACTTCTAGAAATAGCAAAGTTTTTTTAATCGCTCCAAGCTCATCCCTGAAATTAGCTCAACTTTTTAAAACCAATACAATTGCAAAGATGTTGTATAGCTGTGAACTGTGACTACATTTATGGGGGGGGGGGAGTTGAGGCTCACCCACAGAGCAATGGAGAGTGCATGATAAGTATGAGAAGGCTGAAATGCATTACTAATTAAGAATTATGCAGGAACAATAGTGTAAAGGATGTTGAAGAAATATTCAAGAATAAGAAAAAAAGATAAACTAATCACATAGCAACACAGGATGATAGCTTCTACACTTCTACACTTCATTCATCTTCACCTAATCAAGATAATGAAAGAAAATCCCTATGTTGGGTGTCACTCCCAAAGGATTTATGGGTGGACATGGTCAAGAGCAGCAAAGGATAGACATGAACATCTTATAATCGAGTCATCAGAGGAAGTGCTCAAATCGATAAGATCACAGATTCTTTGAAATATACAGAATACACAAATACACACACAAACATGTACCATGAAAAGAGCTAATTATAATAAATTAATGGTATGGTAAATTATATTTGATATATTATATAACTATATTATAAATGGCATAAATACTTGAAGGGAAATATCAATTTTTAGTTGAGTTTCAAAGGGTAGAAGTGGTAATTGAGAAGTGGGAACTGGCAAAACCATTTCATTAATTTAGGAAGGTCTCCAAAAGATAAGAGGCAAGAAAATATATGAAAAAAGCACCACACATCTTGAGCTAACACACAAATGAAGAAGGCTAAAGAAAGAATAACTCCACCAGTAGGGCCACCAGAAGAATGAACTAAAGACAATGCTAAAAGTTTTCACTCCATATAAAAAGGCACAAGGGAGATATCTTAGGGTTTTAAGCTATGCAATAAAACTGGCTGTTGAGAATGACTATTTATGTAGGATTTAAAATAAACAGAAAGCTGGGAAGTCAGCAAAGACATTTCAGTAAGCTATATATGAGGTTATCAGGATCTGGACAAAGGCTTCAATAGAAGTGAATGACAGCTGAATCTAAGAGGTACTGCAGAGGAAGCATTGTTAATTTACCAAGGGAATGAATGGAAGGACAAGAGGATAGCAAGAAATTTAAATGACTAAAGTTCCAAGTGGCTTAGAAGAGGAAACTGGGACTGAATGATTCCCAATTATGTTTCTGTTTCTTTTTAGTAGGGAAGAGAGGTGGAGGGTGGGCGCTGGGGTGGAGGAGGTAGAGAAGAGAATGTAAAACAAATCTTCAAGTATGGCCAAGTATCTCAGATGATGCAAAATTCACAACTAAAAATATTTCAATTCTTATTTTTAAAAGTATTATTTGCCATCCATATACAAAAGCTGGCCCAACTAACCCATCACTCTTGTTTTTCTAATGACAGTGATAGGTTCATATTGACCATTTACACCTTGTTACTCTCTTGTGACTTAAAAATTTGTTGTGATGAATACAGATACAGCCACAGTACAGGAAAAAAAAATGTAAATGATCTACCAGGGAAGTGAAATGGTGTTGTCTGCACTGCACCCTAACCAACGGTTCATAAATTTATGCCTCACAACACTAAAAAAAGAGCACTATTAAAAAAAAAACACAACAATGCTGGGATGCTGCAATTAGATGGGAATCACTACAGTAGAAGATCGAAAAGTTACATATCCAAAATCCACATACCTTTGCTGTTCCTCCCAGGATTGCACTGTGGTGGAAGAAGCGAAGGCCAGGGCTGGAAGTCAGACAAGTCAGAGGAACGTAGGGGGGCACAGGAACAGCCGCTTATCTCGTGCACAGCCAATCAGGGCGGGGTGCGCACGTGCGGCCAGCCAAGGAAAGTAGCGTGGGCAAGGAGGGGACGGCACCACGCAGAAATCAGGCTATGATATGTTCAGACCAGTCTGTAGCCCATATCTAACATCTGCAAAAATACAAAATTCGCACACTGCTTGGTCCCAAGGATGGCAGATTTTTGATCTTCTACTGTATAAAATGATCCAGAATACAGTATCTCAAAATTTGCATGCAAAAATTCCTCAGTATTATTCCCTCCTCCCCTCCCTTAAAAAAAAAGATATATAAATACTGAGGCACAGAAAAAAAGACAAATTGGTCCTGCCTAAACCACCAAAAAACTTCTAATATAATTATGGATTTCAAGTTACCTAATATAGGGTAACCATGATGCTTCAATTTACCTATCTATGATATGGGTACAATAGTGCCAGGGCTTGAATTCAAGAAATAGAAAAGGAATCAAAAGCCAATTTTTATTAGAGTCAACTTTTGAACAAAGAAACCTGGAATAGATACCACCCCATCCTTACAAATTCTCAGTCTTGTTATAAGGTTAGATAGCAGTCTGAGCAATCCCTATCATACCTCTAAAGCTTTTGTCCTAAAGGTCTCCTGCTTTTCACAGCCAGACTCCTAGGAAAAGCTCTCTATATTCCTTGCCTCCACATACTCACTTCCCAGTTCCAGTATTACTACTCAACTGAAACTGTGCTCTTGAAGATGAATGACAATCTTATTTGCAAAAGTTAATGGTCTTTTCTCAGTCTTCATCCTTTCTGACCCTTCTGCACTTGACAAAGTTGACCACCCTAACAACATTCCCCTTTTTGTTTGTAGAAACTCTTTCAAGAGTTTCAAGATACTATTGTCTTCTAGTTCTTTTTCCCTGTCTGACTTACCCTTTTCAATCTCTTTTTGTAAGGTCCTCAATTTCTTTCTTTTCTACATTCACTGTCAATGATCTCATCAACTACCATGGATTCAAAATCATCTCTATAAAGTTGAGTCCCAGATTCACACATCCAGCCCTCATCCTGCATCTGAGCTTTATCACCTAGATGCCCCACAGGCACCCCAAACTCAACATATCTAAAACAGACACCAAACTTTCCCCTTAAATGTATTCCTTTTCCTAATTTCCCTATTTTGGTGGAGGACATCCATCTTTTCAGTGAATCATGGTTTGTAATGTTACAGTAATCCTCTCTGGGGTTTTCCTATTGCCTCATCCCATATATCCCATCTGTGGTAAAGTCTTAGCTCTTCTACCTCCACAACATTTCTCACACCCATTCCCTTTTCTCCACTCATGTGATCATAACTCTAGTTCAGAGTTGCATTATCTCTTGCCTGGATAATCAAAATGGCCCTCTAATTGCTCTCCATTCTTTCAGGCTTTACCTTCTCTTCAATCCATCCTCCACAAGGTTGACAAATTAATATGCAAATGCATAAGTCTGTCCACATTATTTCCCCTGCTTAAAAAGCTTCAGTGGATTCCTTCTGCCTCTACAATAAAATACAAGCTCCTGCTTGGCATTTAAAGCTCTTTACAATATGAATCTAACATACCTTTGCAGAATGATTTCATACTACTTGTCCTCTGCCTCTTGGAATTTCTAGATCCTTTGATGGCTCAGCTCAAAGGCCATCTCCTACAAGAATGCTTCTCCACTTCGAAATTATTTTTCATATGGTTTGTATTTACTTATCTTTGTAAATGTTGTTTTCTCCTAATAGAATATAAGCTCCAGGAGGGCAGGAGCTGTTTTTTCTCCCCTGCATATATATGTATTCCCAGCACCTGGCACATAGTAAGCATTAATACTTGAATTGAATCTGGATAGAAATAGTAAGAGGATTGGTTTGAAGACAGAAGTCAGCATAACCTAGGCATTTATGCACTTGAATCAGTACAATTCTAAAGTAATCTGGACATGAGATTCCACTACAAATGCCCTACAGGACATCAAAAGAAGAGAATACTCAACTCATTCTCATACCTCTGCCATGATAAACTAATAATTCCATGAATGGCCACTTTACAAACAGAGGCAGTTGTGAATAGCTCTAGGAAGTGAAAAAGCTCATGTGAAGGGTAGGCTAGAATGATAAGAAAACACAAAGATTGACTATAGGAGATTTAGAGTGGCTCACAACTGGTAGTGATTTTTTTAGTGGATGTAACTACTTATCTTTGTAGCATTATATGGCAGGGAGATATCAAATGTACTCAGGTTTACTCATTTCTAAAATAACAGGTTGAACTAAGATGATCTCTAAGGTCCAACTCTAAAATTCTACTATCCTATGAAAAAGTCCACTCATTTATCTAGGACGTAGATTTATTCGATCCCTTGTTTCCTCTCCTCTTCTTAGGGACACTTTCTTTTATTTAGTTACACCTCCAGAGAAGCCAAGGGAAAAAAAAAGATAGCTCAAATGAGTTAGTCAATTTGATGCCCATTTGTACCTATCATAAAAGGATAGATGGGAGAAGAAACTGAAACTATGAGCTAAAATTAGGCTGGGGACTTATTATCAATTTTATATTATCCATTAGCTGTTAAAAGTTAGCTAGAGACAGAGACCTGGTTTCTAGTCCCATTTCCACAAGTTGTCATATATGCCTTATACAAGCCACAACTTTTGAGGATCTTAGTCTTCTCTTCTATATACTATCTATGCTGCCTACATCACAAGATTACTATAAAGACCAAGTAAGATAACGGCTGTAAAAGCACTTTCCAAAGGGGAAAAAAATGTTACACAGAGCAGTGTAGTTAAAAGAACACTAAATGTGAAATCAGAAGATCTAAGTTATAATCTCAGTTCTGTTTCTTATTATCTATGTGACTATGGGCAAGTCACTTCGCTCTCTGGATCTAAGTTCGGACAGCTGTAGAATGAGAGGGGTTAGGTTAGATAACATGATCTTCAACTTCCTTTCCAGTTCTAAATCCTATTATTTCATGAATAGATAAATTAAAAAGAGATAAATACCTTTGGTTATTTAGCATTTACTTTAGATTGGACCTCCTTCTATTTTTAGTTTTCAGAGCTTAAACAAAGAACTAGAATGAGTTCCTCAAGAACAAGGAACTGTCTTGCTTTTCTGTATCTTCAACCCTCCTCCCTCTTTTAGAGTTGGTACACTAATGAACACACAGTTGACATTCAATTAAGTGTTTGTTGAAGAGAAGAATGTACACAAGTGAGTGAACAGTGGAGGCAAAATACAGAGGGAAAAACTGAAATTACATCATCTCCCTAGTTCTTAGAGTTTCTAATGTACTATAGAGGGAGACAAGGCCTCAGATTGCAAAGGGGAAACCAAAAAGGTGGCACAGATTAGTGACAATCCTAACATAATAGTAAACTGATAACTATTCCACAATTTCTGGAGTTAAAAACCTTTCTTCCTTTCCAAGTCCAAGATAAACTGCTTAATTGTGTCAAATAATTATGAAATGTTATGATCAGTAAATTAAACCTATAATAAAATAAGCTTATTCCCCTACTCACTTCCTTAACTAGAGAACATTATAACAGTTATGAAAGAATGAGTCAAATTATTTCAGTGAGTTAAAGTTAAGGACAGATTCAGAAAATCAGAAATACTCTGCATTCACTGTATTAGAGAAATGTTGTTCAGCATCCCTGTACTTCTTTAAAAAAAATCTTTTTAGATTGTCTTCAAAGTCCAAGAAGAGTAAGTTTTTGCAAAACAGTTTGACACACTATACTACTGAAGCACTATTCAATAAAGGGGTGGGCCTTTCCATAGTGAGAGAAAACTAAATATAAGTATATTGTGTAATAACACTCCCAATATACATTAGTGGATTTGGGTATTGTCACATGATATAGTTTAATAACACAATGCATACATCAAATTTTAAAACATACTGTTTCTTTTATAAAGAGGGGGCTGGCTTGACTAGGTGTTAAAACTTCTATAAACTACGGCTGTGTTTGGAATAGTTTTCAGATGATAACAGCTAACATTAATATAGTACTTACTATGTGCCAGGCATTGTGCTAAGTGCTCTACAATTATTATTTTATTTTATCCTCACAACAACCCTGGGAGAGAGATGCTATTATCGCTCCCATTTTACTGATAAGGAAACTGAGGCAAACAGAAGGTAAGTGACTTGTCTGAGGTCACACAGCTAGTACATGTGTGAGGCCTAACTCAAACTCAGCTTTTCCTGACTCCAGGCCCCCTGTCCCTCCCCAAAATTTACATTCACCCACAGCTTCCACCTATACTCTGCTAAAAAAAGGTAGTATTAAAAATGCTATATCAGCTATAATTTTTTTTCAACAAGTTCTAATTCTATTTGAAGACCCAGTAATGTTGTGCAAAAAGTTGTTCCAAATTTATTTTACTGATCAATCATAAATGATTTTGTTTTTAAATGTTCTTAAAGTCTGAAGATTTTGAAAAAGGGGGGCAAGCTAGTGGTATTTCAGAGGACACATCTTCCCACATCGTTGCACTTAATAAAGGAGATGAATGGAAAAACTAAACATCCTTGCCTCCTTTCTTTTTGTCATTAAAACCACTGCAATATGCCTTCTTCAGAAAGTAGTGACACGGAATACAACCCCGTTAGAATTGAAACTGCTTCAGTTAGAATCAGAATTAATCATTTTAAGAGTGTTTAGCTGAAAGTGAAAACAGGTTTTCCAACCGAATAATTTCAATGAACAATTATACGAATGCACCCATATCATATTCAAGAAGCAGAAGAAACTTTCTGCCATCCTCCCATTAGCATTTCTTTAATAACTAAAATATTAAAATGATCAAATTTGACGTTTGACAAAACCCTACCGTCTGCCAACTCTTCATTCTTTGGACACCCCGATAACTCAACGTACAGTCTAAATGTAGCAATATCAAATTATATAAGTGCTACATATAAGCCTCTAATTAGAAAAATCTCCCCGAGTTTGATTCCCTGTATCAACGGTGTCCTGTAACACAACGCACGTACATATCACTCAGGAAAATGAGGTATTCTCTCCTAAAGACTCTAAACAAATAATTGGGGTGAGCAAGAGGGCACAAGAACAGATGGAAACAAGCAAGAGACTTGTTTTTCTATCATACTTCAGATTATTGTCCAAAGCAAAGCAAGCGACTAGACAATACAACCTTTCCCCGCCCAGCCCCTGACCCCCCTCTCCCCGCCGCCACCGCCACCACCACCACCTCCCCGCCCCTTACAAAATAATCCATTCTCTTTTCCTCGACTAGGAAACCAACCTGCTGAACTCCAAACGCACGTCTTACGGCAGAGCAGAGGCAAAAGCAAGGTGGGAAAGCTCTCCCTCTCCGGAGGGAGCAGCCCCATGGAATGGGCCCCCCAATACGCAAAAGTTTGAAGGGAACGGGGTGCAAGCCCTACAAACTGGGTGAGCACGAGAAGGAAAAGGTGGGGCTTTGGGGGGGGTGGGGAGGGGAATGAATTAGGGGAGCCGGGAGGGGGGAGAGTAGTATGTGGAAACCGCCACATGACACCAAAGGAGACCAGAGCCGTTGGGGCGTCCGCAGGGGAAAGGGGGGGTGTCGTTGTCATAGCAACACCCCCCCTCCCCATCCGTCCAGACTTCCAAAGAGGGAGGAAGAACTTCAAATCCCAACCGTCAGCGCACGAGCGGCTCCTTCTTAAAGAGGTACGCACCCCCCCACCCGCCCCGCCACCGCCTCCCGCCGCACGGAGCTCAAGTGCCCCCCGCCCGCCCCAGCACCGGGGATCCAGGGGAGGAGGCCAGAGCTTTCACCTCTGTCCCCCCCACTTTCTTCTCCTTGACACTGGCTGCCTTCCGCGCCCCATCCCTGCAAGCGCCCCAAAGCAGCTTCCTTTCCCCCCTTCTTCCTTGAACTCAGCCGAGTCCTCCCGGCCGCCCCCCTCCACACCCCGCCCTGGGCACGGGCGGGCGACGAGCCCCCCTCGCGTACCCTCCTCTCCTTGCCACCGACCCAAAGCCCGGAGTTTCCTCTTGGCCGGCCGGCCAGCCGGCCGGCCCTCCCTCCTTGTCTTCACGGCCGGGAGCCGCTTCCTCCGCTCCCCTGCGCTGACAGGAGGAGGAGGAGCAGAAGCAAGAAGCAGAGTTTCGCCGGGGGAACGATCCCCTCACTTGTGGGGGGGGGGAGTGAAAGAAGGGGGGTTAGTTCCGAACTAAGAGTCCCCGGGAGACGAGGTGGGAAGGCAACGATTGCGGACGAAGACCGCCAAGCCGGGCCCCCCAGACAAAAGGAAGACCAGGAGCCGCCGCCTCCCCTCTCCCCCATTGAACTGACCCGAAACGGGGGAGATATCAACTCAAAATCCTCTCAGCTTAAACTCCTCGAGGCAGCCGCCGCGCGGAGACCGGGAGAAACCGGCCTGTGTCTCTCTTACCTACACAGTGCATGAGGCGGTGGCGCCAAGAATCGAGTTCCCGCCGGAATCCTCTCCTCTCCGCCGCGCACCGAGGGCTCCGGCACTGAGCGGCGGCGGCAGCGGCGGCGGCGGCAGCAGCGGCCATTCTCCCTCTTCCCTTGTCCATCTGCGTCCCGCGTCACGCGCCCTCATTTACATACGGGCGGCGCAGGCACGAGGCGGGGGCGCGATCCCTCGGCGCGAGCCCCGAAGCGCGCGCCACTCTCTCCCGCTCCCCCCCCCCACCGCCCAGAGAGAGAGGGGGGGAAGAGGAGGTTAGGAGGAGAATTGATTGACACGTGTCACTACCTTCCCCCTCCATTCTCCGTGGGAGGAGAGCCGGAGGCGGGGATAGTGGGGAGGAGGAAAGTAATTGCTCTACAGACTCCACCCCCTCCAGTCCCCTGGAGTTAACTGAGCTCTCGACTCAAACCTCGGGCTGAAGAGAGCCCCCGCTCCCCCCTTTAGGAACCGTCGTGCTAATGAAGTGGATTCACGAAGCCTTCTCCCACTCCGACCCCTCGGAGACTTCACTTCCCAGTCTTCCGTGCGCCTGAAGTGCAGCGAGCAGGTCTGCACTCGGGCTCACTGCATGCTGGACCCTGTAGTCTGCGTGGGGGGTGGGGGGTACACTCTGGGGCCACCTTTGTATCGCCAAGGAACAGCTCCTTTCGGCTCCTCGGCCTCTTCCTCCTCTGCTCGGCAGACTTAGCGTCGTCTTGGAGCTGGAGTCTTGTTTAACCGATCTATTAAGAGATTAGGGGCTGAGCTGCTTCTTGGGCGGCAATAAAAGGTTTGGCTAAGCTACCCGCGGAGTCGACCCTAGGAGTGGGTTGTTGCCATCCCTCCAACGCTTTGTTTTTAAGTGATGGGTATCGCTCTGTGTTATTATCATCCCCTCACTTTGCAGTGAGGAGAGCGCCCGTTGGGGAGGAAGAATGGGACCGTTCAGTTGTCATTAAAATAGGCACACCCCCTCCCCCCAAAGAATTTACTGTTGTTGCTCGGTGTAATCCCTGAAAAACCTGGATTACGTCTGAAAATGTACATAAATTTTTAAGAAAGAGGTTGGTGGTTGAGAATCATTTGCCAAAAAGTAGGTTAGGGAAGTCTATAGGTGAATGTCTGTAATTCCAAAAAAGATAGCAGCCTTCTCAAAAATAAAGATTAAAGACACAATTAAAACTCAGCCCAAAACGTTTATGGAAGAAACTTCTGGTTACTAACTTCAATTACATTTTTTGAAGCTAAGTAATTTTGGAGAAAAAATATCAAAGTAATTCAAAATTTACAGGTAAATACTTTGAGAGCCTTAATAAAACTTAGGCAAAGGGAGACATTTGGCCTCAGTCATGTAAAAGAGGTAAGGAGAGAAAGAAAAACACTGAAAATATCTACTGTGCCAACCAGGCCATGCTTTTAGGATGGATGAGAACACAATTTTACATTCCTGGTATGGATGCAAAATTAGCTAGTTATGGTGCTGAGTAAAATTTTTAATTGGATAGTACCAAAAGTTTTATTTCCAAGTTTGGGGAAAAATGCCTATTGTCCCATGTAGTAGAGGTACAACTGGATTTGGAATCAGGCCTTGGGTTCAAGTTCTGGCATTCCCACATATTATCTTTGTAATGCCTTTGTCAAGGCACATTAACTATAAGTCTCATTTTCTTTATCTCTAAAATAGGGATAATTATTACTTTCCCTGCTTACCTCACAGTTACTGTGAGGAAACCACTTTCTAAACTGTAAGTCACTATGTAAATGTGAACTATAACTTCCTATGAATCCTATGAATTCTGAATACTATACTGTCATTTTTTGACAGTTTATTTTGTAGATTATCCATGCTCTTCACTTCTGTCTACAATGATTTATTGTTCATTAGCAATTCAAAAGGAAATACATGGAAATGAAATTTAAAACAATCTTTTAGTAGAAAGTCTCAGATGTTTTTGAGACAAGTGACATGACAGGTGAAACAACTGACTTCCGTATTTTTAAAATTCTTTCTGAATTTCAGTTATCCATTTCTCCTCTTGTCATTGGAACAGATCATGGAGAGTTGGAGCATTCCCAGCAGCTTTTGGGATCTATCCAAAAAAGCTGGAAAAGGAAAAGACTCAGTGGAGAATGGTAAAATATACAACTTTCCTGTTAAGGTGGAGAACACCATCATCCTCCCACTCATCCAGACTCAAAACTTCAGTGTTTCCTCAATGTCAGACTTGCACTGATGACACATAACCAATCTGTCATTGAATCTTTTCTGTTTCTACCTTTATACTCTCTCTTGAGTATGTTCCCTTATCTCCAGCCACACAATAACCCAACCTAGTACAGGCCCTCATCACCTCTTACTTGGGCTATTGCATAACTATCTAATTGGTCTCTCCCTGCTCCAATCAGTCCTACATTCAGCTGCCAAAGTGATTTTTCCAAAAGCACAAGTATGATCATATCATCAAACACACATACATTCACTCAGTCAACCCCAGTGGCTCCCTCTGGCCTCCAGGATCATAAACGGAGTCCTCTGGCCCTTAGAGCCTTTCATAACCTGACCCCTTCTCACCCTTTTCGTCTCCTAACTCTGGTTTCTACTCCGTGCATTCTCAAATCTGGCTGCCTTGGCCTGTTTGCTGTTCCTCATATGCCACACTTCCATTACTGATTCTTGCACTGCCTATCTCCCATGCCCAGAATGTTCTCTGTCTTTGCCTCTGTTTTTTTGTTTTTGTTTTTAGAGAATGTCTGGTTTCTAAGGCTCAGTTCAAATGCCATTTTCTGCAGGAAGCCTTTTCCAGTCCCCTCACTCTACCAAACCCACCCCCAGATACTTTCTTAGTCTTTCTGTGTCCTTTGCATGTTCATCATGTCACTTTATCCAACTTAAACTGTACCTTTTAAGATAAAAGATCAAGTCTCTTGCTATTATTGTTAATAATATAAATATTCAAATACTGTCTTAAAACTTGCAAAGTGCTTTACATATGTGGAGTGTCCCTATAGCTTAAATTTATTTTCAACTTTAATAGCTTAAAAGAGCTCTAAGACTTTTGAGGACAACTTGTATTATCTCACTTTTCTCCTCATAACCACCCTTTGAAATAGATACTTTTTTCCCCCAATCTGGACCTGTGATTTCATCCTTGTAGAACAGCTTTCCTAAGAAAATTCCTTCTCCCATCAAAGATCTACAAATGTCCTACAGCTCAATCTTAGACTTGCCTGGGGCCCTGAGAGATCTAGGTCTTGACTTGAACAAAGTCATACAGCTAGTATGTATCATCGCAGAACTGGCACCCAGGTGTCCTGAGTCTGGGGTTAGCCCTTTGTCTCTACCATGGTGCATCTCATGATTATGGGTGAGAAAACCAAAGCTTGTAAAGGTGAAGAGACTTGCCTTTGGACAATAAATAAAAAATAAATAGTGTAATAAAAAGAGCACTAGACTTGGTATCAGAATTTTTGGTTTCAAGCCCTGGCTCCAGTACATATTGACTATGTGACACTGGACAAGACACATAAAATCTCTGTTTTGGGTTCCTCATGTCTAATGGCTAATAATACCTGTCCAGCCTATCATAAATGTAATGAGCTCCAAATGAGATAATTAGAGTCAAGAGCCTTGTGTAGCACCATGTAAAAGTTAGCTAGGCAGACAGAACATCATGGAGATAATTGCATCTTGCCCTACTCCTATAGTATCTGTTGGAGAAGATAAAGCATTGATATTCTAAAAAGACCTTGATAAGAGCTTCCAAACCAAGCCAACATCTAGTTTGATATTTATTGATTTCTATGGAAAGGTGAACTCAGGAGAAGATAATGAAAAATGTGTGGGAAAATGTCCTGCATGATTAAAAAATGAGAAAGGCCAAGGGACGTAGACAGGCAAAAATGGCCTCCAGGGCCCTTTCAGCTCTAGACCTAAGATCCTGTGAACCTCCTCTTCAAGGTCATGGAGCACAATGTGCAAAATGAGAAGGACCATAGCTAGGTTGTGTCAAACTCAAATAGGTACAAATCCCTGCCAGCACATATTGACTTAGAAAACCACAAATTGGCGTTCTCTATGTTGTGCTGTATTTTTATTTATTGGTTAGACATTTCCCAATTACATTTTAATCTGGTTTGTGATGAATTGGCCCTAAGGCTTTAAGTGATGTTTCTAGTGTAGTGGACAGAGTTCCAGACTTGTAGTCTGAAAGACCTGAGTTCAAATTCTGCCTCAGACACTTATTGGCAGTGTGACAATAAGTGGGCAAGTTACATAACCTTTCTCAGACTTAGTTTCCTCATCTTTAGAATGGGAATAATAATAGCCCCTACATCACAGGGTTGCTGTGAGGATCAAATGAGGTAACACAAGTAAACCACTTTGCAAACCCGGAAGTATGACATAAAAATTATTACTACTCAGGTAAGAAATCAAGCACTGATGACATCACACACTAGCAAGCCACTTTTGTCTTTATTTTCTAATCTTTGTTACAAAGGTCCTGCTGAGTAATTGTAGTAATAATAGCCAGTATTTATATGGCACTTTATAGTTTCCAAAGTACTTTATAAATGTCATGTTATCCTCACAATAGCCCTGGAGGTAGGTGCTATTATTATCTACATTTTACAGATAAGTAAACTGAGGCAGGAAGAGGTTAATTGATCTATAATCATATAGCTCAGAAATGTCTGAAAGTAAGAAGATAGGTTTGAATTGAACTCAGATATTCCTGACTCCAACACAAGTACTCTGTCCACTTCCTCACCTCTTTGCCTAGGGGAAGATAGGACAATATATTCAGAAATGAGGGTGATATAAAAGCGAAAGAGGTGAATAAGAATAAAAAAGGAGTAGTAAAGTATAGCCCACTGTAGATTTGTTCGTTAATTGATCTTTGATGATTATATATTTGTACTTTGAGCAATTTGAGAAAGCATACAAATATTAAAAAAAATACAACAGTTGGACACATTTCTGATTCCATATTAGAAAAACTGAAGAGCATAGGAAGAACATGATTTGTTACAGAATTTTTAAGGTCACTGAGCCAGCATGGAAGGCATCCTCTGACTTTGTGTTCAACCAACAGATTCAACATTCTAGTAAGATGGCAAAATAACCGTTCGTATTCTGAATTTTCAACATGTTACACTCAAATAACATGCATTTTCTGACTTAAAATTTTCTATACAGTAGAGATTTGCAACTATAATATTATTATGAAAAGGTTTAATTCATCACGAAAGGCTTTTGCAGTACAGAAGAATATCTATTTTTTGGTAAACTTTTAATAGATAATTAAAACTATAATGCTTCAGGGTATTTGCCTTAGCTCTGAACTATAGCTGTTCTGCACTAATAAAAGAGATTTAAAATAGAGGGAAATTTGATTAGCCAATTGTTTTTTTGGTGGAGGAACACAGATCCTCTCTAGAATATTTCTAATCAGTCATATAATCTATATTATGGAAAGTCATTGTGCAAGCACCTTGAATCATTCCCAGTACATAAGCCAAAGGTTCCTTAGCGTTTTTTCTAGTGGAATTTAGACTCTATATCATATCAGATATATAATTTGATGCATTTGCACTTTCATACTGCAGTTAAGCAATTTAGAAACACCTAGATAATTTGGGCTTCTTTATATGGTTCCACTGTATGCCATAAAATGATGTTTTTATGTTTGCCAGGAAGTACATGGAAAAGCATTGAAGGAAATCTGCTTAGAGTAACAAAATTTCATGTATTTGGAAGCAAGATAAAAAAAAAAGAGTTATAATCATGGTGCAATTTGGCTGTCAGAACATGATGTCAATTAATCTTTATATCTTCTTTTCTAAGCTTGACTCTAGTGTACCCTAATAGTGGCATTTAATTTTTTTTTATTTACAATAATCTGTCCTGGTTTGGCACCAGCATCAGAGGAACATCTCAGCAATTTTTCCTCTTGCCCTTCATTTAATTCAGGGCTAGAACATTTAAGATACTTTATTTAGAATAAAACATATTTATCTACATTAAAGTTGTGACTTGCATATTTATTAAAAATTATTAGTTGAAAATTATTTATTTTTCAACTTATTTAGAAAGATCCAGTTCATAAATCTTTTCCTACCACATTGTCAGTATCTCTACCAAATTAAGGGAGGCACATATATTAGTTTAAAAACAAACAAAAACCCCAAACTCACTAGTCCACAAAATACCAAATACTATATGTTTAGTACCATTCTCCATTTTTGTCTTCTTCTAGAACATTGAAAAGGATAAATAGGACATGGCTTGTCACTAGCTTCTTTGTGTCCACTTGAAATCATTCTCGAAGCCAGAAACACTATTATCACCTTCATTTTCTGTTTCTACCCAATTCAAAATTTATTATATCTTCAATGAAGATAATGTGATCCCATTTAATCCAAATTGAATGGTTCAGTCTCAAAGTCAAGTTGAAAAATGTCATCTATACTACTTCCTTATCTTCTAATTCTATCAAAATGACATTATTAGAGTTTCTTTTTCCTTGTAAACTTATTTTTAACCTAACCTAACCATTCATGAAAAGAACTGTCAACTTTGGTTCATATATATTCTGTTGATACTGAGTTAGTAGTTTCTGGAATAGTCTTAGGATATCAATTCCATATTTCTTTCTATACCTTCTGAAAAACTAACCACACATACAGTACTTCTTTATCTGCTAAATCCATCAAACTGAGATTAGTTTTTTCCTTGTATATTTGTTTTAATGTAACTATTTCTAACAAGCTGGAGAAGAACCAGTTGTGCAGAAATTATGGTGTCTTTAGTAGTGAAGAGGACTACAGGATAAATGGAAATTAGTCCTATGCAGAGTTGTTGTATATGGCCACCCTTTTGGTGTGACTTGAGAGGTTAAAAAAAAAAAGCTTGCCTTGCTTAAAAAATATCTTCCTCAATGTCTTGTCATAGTGCTTTCAATTACTGCCATTTGAATAATTTCTTTTATCCCCAGAGGGAGTAATATATTAAGCACTGTTTAAAAGGAGATTCAGTTCCCAGATTAAGGAGAATAAAGGAAATAATGGAACTCAGAAGAGGTAAATTTTGTTGGGGGTGGGCTGAAGGTAAGAGAGAAAAAGCTAGATCAGGG